TGTGGCAGGCCCCTCTCAGCCCAGAGCCTGGATCAACAGTGGCATCTAGTGGCTCCAGCAGAAGGCTGGGCACCCAGAGATCTGTGCTGAGCCACCGAGCCCTGAATCCTGAGTGCCAACTGCCCCACAAACCGAGCCTAGCTTAAACGTCTCCAGGCCATCATCACAGGGAGACCCTGAAGGCCACTGCCCTCCCCACAGCCTTCAGGTCCTCGGGTTGCCACTAAAATGCATCATTAGTGCTTCTTCCCCTTCAGTTGGGGTCACGACTAAGCTGACCATCTTGGCCTGACCATTCACATAGGCCTCAGTACACCAACACAGGGCACCCCAGATCCTTCTCGAGCTTTAACACAGGCAGAGAGGGGTTAAGATGTCACTAAGAGGGGAAGTCTGACTGGGGCAGTGTGGCGACACCTACATGCACAGTGACATCTTGTCCTCTTCTGCCCATCAGTCCCACACAGTGCTCAGGGCAGTCTTTCTCCTTCTGTCCCATGAGCCTGTGTCCCCAAATCCCAATGCTCTGTGGAGCTGTGCTGTCATGACCAGTAACTATTGCCCTTGCTGGGACCCTGGAACCAAATAGCCAGTCTCCAGAAACTCTCTCCAATGACTGGTCCAGCCCAGGAGTTCTTTCAGGACAAATGAATGCTGTTCCCAAACAATGGCAACTGGGTTTGTTGCTCCCAGGCAGAAGAATCTCTGGGGCCATAGATCTGTTCAGGGATAAGGGATACCTTTAGTAAGAGACTCCCAGGTTTGGGGATTCCTGAGACTGCCGGAAACCCCGCTGTTCCCGAGGGCCCAGGGCTTCCTCTGCAAGGGGAACGTCAAAGCCTCCCTGGACAGGTGCAGAGAAGACATTCTGCCCAAGGTTGGACAGCACTCCAGCAGGGCAAACCCAAGTGCTTCCTCCACTCTTAGCCAGAGGAGCGAGCAGGGACCGTCCCTCTCCTTCCCTTAAGGGGGAGATCATTGCGTGAATGACTTTGTCGCTCATGACCTTGGGAAAGGAAAAATGAGCCCTGAAGCATCCCACAAAAGCGGCTTTTCTGGCCTCTACTCCACTCCTTTGGTTCCCTAAGTGAGTCCATGGCTTGCCAGTTCTGGGGTGCATCCAGTGGTCCGTAAGTGTAAGACTGTGTGGATCTGATATCTCCTTTGGAAGTCTTCCATACTCACATTTCCATGCTCTAAGACACAAGGCAGGAAAGCTCTGTTAATGACCTTCATGTAAGGGCTGTCAGGTGGAGTGGTGATTAAGGTGCTGAATTCCCACATGGTCTACCATGGTTCAAGTCCCGGACCTGGCCGCTTGCTTTCTCACTTTCCTTTTCTTTCTCTGGTCAAAATTAAGTAATAATAATAACAAATATTAAGTAAATAAATCATTTTAAAATAAATACATAACCTTTGTGTAACTCAGGATTTCCCACACTGAGCGGCTGCAGAGCCCCTTCTGGCTCTGCACAGCCCCTCATTCTACCCCAGGAGCGGCACACTGGGAACGTCATGGGCAATCTTCCCACCTGAGTGGCTTCTCAGGAAGAAAAGCCAGAGAGTGAAGGACTCTCAAGTCAGCCTCAAGCCAGCCTTACGGCAAGGGAGGCTCTCCCCCACTTGCCAGCAATGCACCTTCTCCGAGTGAAGGTTGATGCTCCAGCCCCAGGGTCTCCGGCGGAGAGACCGACTGGTGGTTAATGCATCAGGCACACCTCCTCCAGTTCATTAAAACGCCCTTAGCCTGAGGGTGAAAGGCCAGAAGTGGGTCTCCAGTGCAATCAGAAGCCTTGAAAATGATTTATTGAGCTACTAATCGAGCCTCAGAACAACCTCTGTCTTTTTCTTCCCCTTCAGGTGAACCCGGAGCACCGGGCAAGATCGTCACTTCAGGTAGGCAGATCCCGGAGGGACTCTCCTTGTCGCATCCTCATCTCACACGCACGGGGCACTGCCCTGGCCCTGCCTTGGCATCCCCTGGGAAGCGCCAGGCAGCGGGGGGGCTGTGCCTCGGGCAGGACACAGTACTGAGCTCCCATCAGCAGCGAGGGAAGGAGGGAAGTGTAGCGGTGATGAGAGGAAGGAAAGCCCAGGCTGGCCCACGGCCTGCTGTGGACCCAGACCTCTGAGCCCGCAGAGGGGCTCAGTGTTCCCCATGCCTTCTGTTTTCAGAGGGGTCATCGACAGTCACCGTCCCAGGCCCACCGGGACCTCCTGGAGCCATGGGACCCCCAGGACCTCCAGGTGCCCCAGGTCAGTTCACTTTCTTGCTTTGCCCCAATCAGCAGTAGGCCTCGGTTGCGTTTAACTACGGCAGTGTTTGGCCAAATCCTGAAACCCGGTGCGAGAACCAGGAAAGAGGGGAAGGAGGGCCCGAGAGAGCTGCACTCCTGTGTTCTCAGAGGGTGAGGCCGGTCAGCTTCCCTATCCCACGCATAGGAGTCTGGAGTCCCTTTCGGCGTTTACAGACAGGAAGGCTGGACCTCAGAACCAGTCTAGAACTTGCGACCTGCAGCCGGGAAGGCTTCAGGCCAGTCGTTCTGCCTCCACAGCCTGAGACCAGTCGGAATGCCCCAAACCCTTTGTTTCTTCTTGGAAAACATAATAGTAATCATGGTAACAGGCACCAAGGATAGCAAGAATGCTAGGACTCTACCAGGAGAAAACATCCCCAGGTCGTCTAACAGTGATGGGACGCTTACAACGATAGGGAGGTTTTTGAAGAGAGTTGTTCAGAGATCAGGTATATTTCAAAGCCGAATACTTAATAATGCTTGCTCTACAGTTGCATATATTTTTACAAGATGCAAAAGAAATTGCTGGAAAGAAATTTTAAAATTAGTCACACGTTTAAAATTTGTGGGTTCTCCCCATTTTTCTAATATCTCTTATTTTGTTAAACATATTTTTAATTATTAAAAAAATGTATATCTGAAAAGAGTACACGACCTAACACAGCCACTGCGAGCATGTGCCAGCCCTCCCCCCTGACCAGGTGGCACCACTGAGGGGTAGCATCACAGAGGACAGCCCTGCCCACCCCAGTCCCGTGCCCATGGTTAGAGATGTTGTGGCCACAGGGCTAGTCTTCCTGCTTTCCCTGTCAGCAGACTGGCTTCCCGCGCCACTGTTCCAGACCTGGTGAGGCAC